ACCTCTTACGTACAAGGCCAGCCACGTGGATGACAGGTTGAGCGCTGGCTGGCCCCATCCCCGTGTGTCACAAGGACCCACTTGCACGCAGCCAAAAGGCAACGAGGTAAAGAAAAGGAGGAGGAAACCAGACCTCACAGAGGCATATATATCGTCAAACAGAGCTTCCCGGTAAACCGTAGGCAGAGAGGGAGAAGAGGACAACAAACGAGGGGCTGTGACAAACTGTTATATATCAATATTAAAAAAAAAAAAACAAAGGCCTTGCAATATCCCAATCGTCCAATTGGCCATGGCTAAGATCAAGTGTAGTATCTGTTCTGATCAGTTTAATATCTGATCTTAAACAAAACACAAAAAAACAAGAAAAATTGAACTCAAAAGTCTGCATTTCAACAGTTCATTCGTGTACCAACTGACCTAGCCCCGTCCGTAGATGAAATCCCTCTTCTGTCTCTTTCTCTTTCTTCTCATACTCCTTTTCATTGGCTTTTTTTTTTTTTTTTTTTATTAACAGGTCCTTATGTTCCTGGCTCCATATCCATTCTGGGGAGCGTCAGTCCGGTTCCTATTCCCCCGGCGAGTCAGAATAACATTATTACATCATTGCACACACCCACGCCCCCCTTCCGTCTGGCCGAAGGGTCCCTGAGCAGCATTGATTGCTCTGATACGGAAGGATCTGTCCAGATGGCTGACAGAGTCTCAGGCCTGACAATAGTGACAAGTGCGGGAGCTTGGAAACAGTGACCAGGGTTCTCTCTGCAAGCTGGGCCTTTAGTGTAGGGCATTAGTGGCACAGCTAGGAGGTTGGGGTGGATAGGTTAGTGTAGCTTAGTTAGGAGTAGGCGTATGAACCAGGGCATCACGGTTCGGTTCGGACCATGGGAGGTCAGATGGTGATGGAGGGAGGGAGAGTGCCAGCGATACTTGGTATAGTTCCGACCGGTCGCATAGACCGGTTTTCAGGCCGGAGTAGGCCTGTGAAGTAGGTAGGAGAGGCTAGCTGCGAGAATTGTAGAAGTAGATTTGTTCAGCATCTTGTAAGCTTTCATCTGGTATTGGAAAACTCTTACATGCATCTTTAGTCTTCGATGGTAGAATTCGTGTGAAGTATGAGGAATGAATGATAGTACACCTACCAGCAGGCTCCGTCCTGTTAAGCGAAACTGGCTAATGCTGCCAGAGAGTTACTCCGGGTTGAATTGTGGGGTCCCCGGCCCTGATCGCTTCTTTTTTGAAATATATTTTTGTTGAGGAAAAAAAAAAAAAAAAAAATAGAAATGTTTGCACCCTCTGTTTCAAAGAAGGCAGCCTGACCAAAGGTTGCGTTAAACACCCCCTAAGCGGTGACCTTCGGTCGCTCCTGAGAAAAAAGGGGTAGAACATAATTTATAGAGGGGGCCGAAAAGCCCTCAGGAGTGGGAAAATAGGGTGCAGAATTTGTTCTTTGGGGTTCTGAACAACCCTCAGGCCTGGGAAAATAGGGGCGCAAACGCATTTTTCCGGGGCGGGGAAGGGAGGGAGCGGGGGGGGGGGAGTTGCGCGAATGAAGCCTGGGAAAGCCTTTTAGGGTGCCAAGGCAAAGGAATTTTTCAGGTCTCGTCTGGCTGCGCCGGGTAGGACGGAGGGGTGAAAGCCTTCTTTCCGTTACTAATATTTGTTAAATTAAACGATTAGGCCCCACTGGTCCCCACCGCACGAGGCTTGCTGCACACGTTGCATCTATAACGACACGACAACCATGACGGTGTATGTTCAACTGCTGTCTCTCTCTCTCTCTCTCTCTCTCTCTCTCTCTCTCTCTCTCTCTCTCTCTCTCTCTCTCTCTCTCTCTCTCTCTCTCTCTTGGCTGAAAATCTCCACTTTTCTTCTTTCCTTCCTTCCGGTCTTTTTTCCGTTTTCCTGGTTACTCCTTTTTTTTTCCTT